AATGATTGCCCCAACAACACTGACAAAGCATGGACCACAACAAATCCTTGGAGGCAACAGCGACTACTGGAACTACAACAATGAAGGATACCTTGTACGGTATCACCGGAACAAGAGGAAAGCTCTCTTTGTTCCTGGCGACAATTGCCCAGTACCACTGGAGACATTGAGCAACTATGGACGAACAATCATTCGACGAACAGACGGGAACAACGAAGACATGGTTGAACAATACCATGACTTGAGCAAACACGAACGACGACGAGTGATACAAGGAGACACATGGACAGGAGAAACATGGTTCAGAGTGAACAAGCCGCCAGCACAACCGGCGCCTACAACAGCGAAGACAACAGAGCAGACAGAGAAAGCATCACAAGCAATACAGGCACGACATCAATCCACAACACTACGAACCCCGGAAAGAGACGGGACAACACAACAGGCAAGCAGAGAGCCACTATACAGACACACAACGAAGAAGCCAGCACCAACAACCACGGCAGTACCTGATCCATCCACAATGACACCAGCAGACTATTGGATCAGAGAAGGACACTATTGGAAACGAGTTCACGTACAAGTACGGACGACAATGTACATACCACAACAAACAGAAGATGGTCCAGACATTGGACGACTCAAACCTACACGGACAACATTCGTGAACAGAACGGAACAAGGAAGAGGATACACAATCCATGACAATTGGCAGGAATCAGGAGCAAGACAGCTTGACAGATAATGGACAGGATCAACAAACTTCGAGGAAGATGCGACGTACAAGTACGAGTACGACACGGACAAGGAAGATGAATCTCAACAAGCACAACGCGCCAAAGGGATGAAGGCGCCACAACAACCAACAAGACAAGAAAGAGTAGAACATGAGCTGACACATTTACCATACCGCTCATGGTGCCCAATATGTGTCAAGAGCAAAGGAAGAACAGACAATCACCCAAAACAAGCAAGCAAACAACCAGTGATACAAGTGGACTTCACCTACATGAAAGCATTTGGAGACAAAAAAGTACTACCAGTACTGACGGCAATAGATGTCGAATCAGGTATGGCAATGGCAGTTCTTGTACAAGACAAGAACCAACAACAACAATACCTGATACGATGTCTACAAACATTCATGTTCGAATGTGGACAAGCACAAGCAACACTATCCACCACAACACTACAATCAGACCAAGAAGAATACATACAGAACCTATTGAAAGCCGTCGCACAAAAGCTCGGAAACAACGTCAACATCCGACAATCACCGGCATACTCGTCACAATCACAAGGAAGCATTGAACGATTCCATCGCACTTTGATGGGACAAGTCCGAGCACTGGTACAACAAGTGACCACAAGCTACAACCTCACATTGAGCGTACAACATCCGATCATGCCATGGCAGAAGGACCGCAAAGCACCACTATGCGAGATGGCAGAAACAGTACAATAGATGATACCAACCACAAAAGCACAACCCAAGATGGAGCCAAGATTCTTCAAAGGAATCTGGCTTGGCAGAGACACAATGACTGGAGAGTCAATAGTTGGCATCCCTGGCAAGGTCATCAGAGCAAGAACAATTCGAAGACAGATCATGCCAGACAAGTACGACAAGCAACTATATACTGGATACTATCAACGTGTATCCATGAAACTTGCCAACACCATCAATGGCAGTTCCACCACAACTGCTTTTACCAGCCGACAACACCACAAGCAGACAAGCAATTGGCACACAAGCTGACATTACAGTGGAAGACATAAGCACACAAACAGCACAAGAGACACCACTGGCACTACCAGCACAAGCAATGCATCACCACCCAATGGATATGACAATGGCAACATCGCCATTGGCAACTTCACCAACAACAATGGCAAGACCACCACTGCCATTACCACCAGCAAGCAAGCGACAACACGAGGAGCCTACAGGTGAAGCACAAGCCAAACAATCAAGGACAGCACAGTCCTCAACAGCAGCAAACAGAGGACAAGATGAAGAACAAACAAAAGCAAAGATGAGAATACAAGCAGTGACCATCACCACAAAGAAAGGTGACAAGATCACCACAGCATCCTGTGAGGATGAACAAGAAGCAGAAGTGGAAAGGATGCTACAAGAACCCTTCGTCTACGACAATGAAGGTCTTGATCCATTGAAAGTACAGCAATCGATGAAGACACAAGGAGTGTTCACAGAGATGAATTACAACGATGTCCCAGAAGAACACAAGAACAGGATCATAGAATCCAAGTGGGTCATCTAGATGAAGTGCGATGTCGCATAGTAGCAAAAGGTTACTTGGAAACAATCCAAGACCTTGACAACATCTATGCGAGCACACCAATCTTTGGGATCTTACGTATCCTACTGACAATGGCACAGCACAACCACTGGACAATACAAGCAGGAGATGTGTCAACAGCATTCCTACACGCACCAGCAGCGACAGACAATCTCTACATGTGGCCACCACCAGAACTATACCCAAGTGGTCACAACACTGCCACAGTATGGAAGCTCAACAAAGCAATCTATGGACTACGATCAAGTCCAAAATCCTGGCAGGATCACTTTGCACAAGTCCTACAACAAATGGGACTGTCTCGACTGACAAGTGAACCCAACGTGTACAGGAACAATGAACAGACAATGTTTGTGATGGTCTATGTGGATGACCTACTATTCCTGGGACAACAACAAGAAGTCGACAAGACTTTCAAGGAAGTACAAAAGCATGTACTACTACGACCAACCGGCACATTGGGAATTGGTCAGACAATCCAATTCCTTGGCAGAGACATCCACAACAATGGAGACTTCTTTGAGGTGAGCCTCAAACCAGAATACATCACCACATTGCTGAAGGAAACAAAAATGGAAGCAAGCAATCCAGCATCAGCTCGAGGGACGGCAACCCTGAAACAATCCACAAACGATGATGCACCTCTAGATGCACAAGAACATGCAGATTACAGAAGAGCAGTAGGAAAGCTACAATGGCTGACCGACACAAGACCAGACATCAGCTTTGCAACAAAAGAACTGGCACAAGACCTACAACAACCAACACAACAAAGCTTACGCAAGGTGAAACATCTTTTACGATACCTCAGGGGAACACAACACTACAAGATGATCCTGAGGACAACCCACACGCCACAAACAAAGGAACCTATTGACCTCAACATTTATGTCGATGCAGACTGGGCAGGATGCCCAAGCACAAGAAAATCAACAAGTGGATTCATAGTGACAATGATGGGATCCGTGGTACAATTTGGAAGCAGAACACAAGCAGTAGTAGCACTATCATCAGCAGAATCAGAGCTTTATGCAATTGGCACAGGAGCACAAGAAGGACTACATATAGCAAACTTCATCAAGGAAGCAACAACAACAAAGGTGAACATTCGCATATTACATACAGACAGCATAAGCGGCAAGAGCATCGCAACAAGAATTGGCTCGTCAAAGAAGGCAAAGCACATTGGCCTGAAGTACCTCTTCATACAACAACTGGTGCAACGCGGGGTACTGGCAATACACAAGATTAGCACACACGACAACCCAGCAGACATACTGACAAAGTATGTCTCGGCAGAGGTGCTTAACAAACACCTCTACATGGCGGGCATTCAAGGCCCACAACACCACAACTGAACAACAGCTATACAACCAGTTTCACAACCGTGGCAGCACCACCGCGTGTACAATACACACACGGGGGATCAAGCCATGGCACACTACTTTAGCTACTATGTGCATACTATGTCATAGACAATATGTACTACAAGATCTTTAGTTTCACAATGGGCCCGACTTTCTTTTCGTCGTTTCGGAGTACAATTCGATGGACAATGTGTTTGAAGTTTTGCTTTTTGAATTTGGATGACAATGCATGTTTGGTTGACAATTTGTCAACAGTTCCTTTGACCGCAGCCGCCTTCAAGCTTACAAGCTCACACAATCGCGAACGACTGCATCAAGGACAACTTGAAGGGCAACAATGACTGTGGAGATGACGATTCCAGACTACCACAATCAGCGTCGACTTCCCACAAACTCGACAATCTCTTTGTGGGAGGACCGAGCAGTCCTATACAATGAGGACAATATGGAAAAGTCAGAAGACGAGGAAGAAGAAAAGGGGAAAAAACGTCCCAGACAATCCTCGGAGGCCCCAGACAATCAGATGGATGACATGGAGGGTTGAGACAATGTCTCAACAATCTGCAAATCTCCAGCTGTGACAACGCCATACGAGCACAACGATGAGAAGGGCAACAACACTGGAGAGACAAGGCAGAAGAACATGTACAGACTTGCCTACAGTGCCCGAACTGTTTATGTACAATAATGTTCCTTTACTGTTTCAACAATGTTACAATGTTTGTATTGATGGTGTGATTCAACAGTGAATCAAACCTAGGGACGGTGTCAAGATACAACCTTCTGTACAATTGCATGTTTACTCCATCGTAGTGTTCATGTACAATGACTTGGTGCTATACAATGCACCTTGGATCAAAGGCCTTGAGCCTAGCCTAGCTCAGCCTAAGGACAGTTGCCAAGAGGAAAACAATACAGAGACGTGCACAAACAAACGACAAACAAACAGCTGCTGAATTTTACAGCAGAGAGAGAGAGAGAGATTGTTAATGTGTATGGAATAGAAAACATATTGCATCGTGGCAAAGCTGTCCGATGTGGGAAGGAGTCTAGTAGCAAACATAAGAGCTATCTAGTAGCTATCTAGTAGCAATGATGCAAAAGAGCGCGGATTCTTGAAGTACCCTTTCCAGAGTCGAAACGGCTCCTTCATTTCAGATGCATTGAGGGAAATGAAAGAGTAAAACATACAATTCAACAAACAGAATACAAATATATATATTATATATATGTTTATTTACTTATATTGTAAATGTATCTTAAGGTCAAAAGACATATTTGAACCGAACGCCAGCTGGAGCCCGCCCACCTCTTCATCGAGCCGTCGAACTGCCATGCCGCCTGGGGATTTGACTGACCGATACATGTCGCTACCAGGCCTAGCCACACCTTGAATACCAAGTCTTAACCGTTAACAGGACGCTACTAGGAGCAAAGGGCATCGCTACTAGGAGCAAAGACTCTACTAGGAGTAAAGACGCTACTAGGAGCAAAGGGCATCGCTACTAGGAGCAAAGACGCTACTAGGAAAGACGCTACTAGGAGCAAGGGCATCGCTACTAGGAGCAAAGACGCTACTAGGAGCAAAGACGCTACTAGGAGCAAGGGCATCGCTGCTCGAAGCAAAGACGCTACTAGGAGCAAAGGGCATCGCTACTAGGAGCAAAGACGCAAAGGGCATCGCTACTAGTCTTAACGGTCAGAAGCACCACTGACCCTTTTGACTCGTTGAGGCCATGAACCTTCTCCGCTCCCAAACCCCAAAAAACGAGCACGTCGTTGCTTATCGCTGGCAAAGGAATCAAGGTCTTTGACATGTTTAGATATGTTTAGGCTATGTAGGCTTGAGTTCCACAATCAATTGCACCACATGTCCTCCATTTGCATTGTGCATGATTTGACGTTTGTCTGCAAAGCCTTGTAACGCGTTTGCCGTCAAAAGAACGAATTGCTCATAGTGATAGTGTCTGCTCGGTCAAGGATCAGGGCATATCAGGTTGAGAGTTGAGAAATCTGCAGTCTTACCCCTGACCAACCCAATTCCACTGCAGGCACAATGCACAATATATCCAATCTGGCCTGTTTTCCCATCCAAATTGACGCCGCACAAGGCCGTGGGAGATGATGGGCTTCCCTTGTAAACTGTGAGTGCCAAAGGAGCGGCAAAGGACCACCTGACGCAAAATGAGCAACCCGTGTGGATGTGGATTTAAAGGTGGGCGGTGGGAGACACAAAGGCCGTCATCAATATCAAAGCTTAAGGCTTAAGGTGTGTGTGTGTGTGTGTGCGTGCCCTTGGTTCATGGGTTGAAGCCACATACCTGCTATTGGGTCCTACGCTGTTGGTCCCTGCTTGTAGCTAGACCAACTTTGGTGGCCTTAGTATCGTGTTTCACTTCTGCAAACATGCACTTGTCGCCCGTTCGCGCCATGAATTTGTTGATGAAACTTTGGATCCTTTGGAGCCCTTTGAACCTCCTTGTGAGATTCTTCGGTGGGACACTGCCGCGCTTGTACCTCTCCAGTGAAAAATATCCTTGCTCCTTCCCCTATCTCCCCTTTCTGTCTGTTGACTCTATACAATCCCACACACATCTATATTGTGTGATCCAAAAAATACTGTATATTAATATTGATTATTGATTCCGCCCTTTGCTCCATATACAATTTCTGACACAAAGCTGTTCGCGTGCTCGTAGGTCGTGTCCAATACACAAACTGTTGTACTCAACTACAAAAGATTCTATATAGGTTTTAGATCACAAGTTACAGGGGACTCCAGCCAATTTTTCATCATGAGTCACCCGTTCTCGGTCACAAAGTCCGACTTCCTCAACACCTGAGTAGTGTCAAACTTGTCCCACCAGTGTTTGCTCACCAGAGTAGTCTGCAAGCTGAAGACTGGAATATGTGCAAAAAAGTATGGATTGTGAGATGGATACCTAAAGCTCTGTTAGCAATGATTTCCTCAAGCTTCTAGCTCTCAAAGTCATCGAAGCTGAAGGACAACAAACAGTTTAACTGCCGTGGCACAGTTCCCTTGACGGCATCTTTCACATGGTCTTTCGCTTGAGCCCTCTGGCTGGCCTGCACATGGAGAAGCCACGATGAGAGCAGGGAAGATTGTCGAGTCTGGCACTTTGCATATGTTTGTTTGCCTTTATGCAATGTCTGCTAATTTGGTTGATCCTGACAAAGGATGGTCTGTTCCAAGTTGCGCACAGGAAAGCAAGCCAAACCTAAATCTCCTGTCAAATTACAGTAGAAATCAAAAGAGAGCCTTGCCCCCTTTCAATCGCTGTGGTTTCCAGCCTCAAAGTCCTTGTCCTTGAAATTCCCGTCTGTCAAGGATATCTTCTCCCCATTCGCATCTTCCATCAAAAGGATTGCAAAATCATCCTGGCCGAGGGCGCAAATCCAATTCAGCTGCTGAACAGTCTGCCCTTAAGAATTGGACGGCTGAAGCCAAGGCTAGCTGGAAGGATCACATCGACAGGCACTCCGGACAAGTACAAAGTGCAAGCTGTAAATTGGTGTGGACATGGAGAAGGCTTTTTGTCTTTTTGCAGAAGTCGACATAGGTGGTTTGTCAAAAGCACACGTCATGTTCTTGGAACCTAAAGGCGATCCAAGACAGAACCTTATCTACACCCAGCCCTAGAAGAGTTGATCAGAGCTTTCAGTCAGACCCTCTATAACAAGGTCCAAATCTCACACCATACATATTTATATATTTAACAAGGTCCACCTTCTCGCCATAGATGCCAACGAAAGCACAATCTCCTGATGGGCAACACTTTCCAGAACTGAAACTATGCACGGCTCCACTTCTCGGGGTAGACAAAAGAAATCCAAAAAATGGGAAAGAAATCCTGGAAGGTCGGAAGAAATAGGTGTTGATTGCAAAGAGAGCTTTGTTGCTGTAGTTCAGGTGGATATGATAAGGGACGGATTCATTGTGCATATTAATATGATGATTCTGCTTGTCTGTCAATGTTTTTCCCAAGGTCTCCTGTTTTTTGCATATCCCAGCAGCAAATGCCAAACAAGCCAAACATCAGTAATTACAGTAAGTATAAATGCATATAGATAGCTGTGCAGCACACACCAGGACCTGCTTGGGTCCAAGGACAAAAAAGGATGTGCAACATGTTGGAGGACACAAGAGGACATGCATCCGAAAAATGCAAACGCATGCAAAGGGCAAAAGGCAATAAAAACAAAGGTTGTGTCCTCTGAAGAATGCTCTTTGCAATTGGAAACTGTGTTTTCTCTTAGTCTTAGCCTTTTAGCCAAGCACGAGCTTCAATGCCATGCCACATGCAACCATGAAGGGAAGGGGTGGAAGGTGTAGAACTATATGGCAAACAAACACACGGTGCAAAGCACTCTGTTTTGTCGGTGTCACGAGGTCCCAAGTCACCTTCTTCGCTAAGCTACCCAAGCTCCTGGGGCCAACGACGAAGCTATGCCAAAGTGAGCAAGGACAGCAAACGATTTGAGGAGGAATGCCATGTCGCTGTTGAAACCTCAAGCCAGGACAGCAGAGCATGGTTGGCCGACCGAATGGATTCATGCTGTGGAAGATTCCTATTGACTGCCAGTGAATGCCAGTGTAGTAGCTTCTTGCTACTAGTAGAAATGCCAGGAGCTACTAGTAGCGTCCTTGCTCCTAGTAGCGTCCTATATTTGCTTAGATCTCAAGCCATGAATTGCGAAACCATACCTCCCTGCTGAAGGTCCAATACGCACCCTCCCAAGCTGACCAAATCAAGTAGGTCGCTAGGTCTGCTCCTTTGATTTCTTGAAGGCTGAAGGCTGAGTAAGCTTGCCAACTCCTTTCCATCCGGCGGTATTCTCAACTTACCTTTGGGCAGTCAGCCGCTGTGCAAAATCTGGAACAGCGGCACGGATCTTGCACGGCAGCCGAGTGAAAAGTGACGGGTGCCACCGCCACCTCCGTCTTGTGTGTGGCCACCTCCGTCTTGCTCCTAGTAGCGATGCTCAGAGTTAGACATGCGCTTCTCATCTTCGGAACATGCTTTGGGCACTTCGACCCTCATCTCCTCAGTCAGACCTGCATCTCCTTTTCCCGCACTTTGTGCTGTCTGTTGAACTTCAGATAGGGGTCGTTCTTCCGCCCCAGGCTGTGTCTTCTCTTCGGCTATTCTGCTTCAGGTTGGGCTTGTTCTGCTTCCTGACACTTGACACTTAGCTTGAGCTGCCTCTTCCGCTACTTACTAGCAAAGTCAAGTGTTTCGCATTGCTTCGCTTGATGAGCTGCTTGTTAAGCCATGTTAAGCCTTCTCAATGGCTTTGTTCGTCTTATTATTATGGCTCAGTGATGCCAGGTGATCGTATACGAAGATCGACGCTGATGGACGAATCCTCGTCCACAAACTGGTTGTAGAATTCGACCACGGCAACTCATTCTTTCCCTCCGACAAGGCCTCTTGCAGTTGGAAGCACTGTCCATCACCTGATCTGAATTTGTCTTCGGCACGCCTTTGAATGAAGCGTGATATAGTCGTGCGATTGAAACTGAGTTCGGACACGCTCGAGCCATTGAGCAAGTGGATGTTATTTTCCACTAAAATTGCTCTAAATCGGCATCGATTCAAAACCACGGACATACCTGAGTCCACACATTGCATGCCACAGGAGGAGTACCCAAACGGGAGATATTTATTGTAGATACTTACACTACACGTGCACACAATCGTAATACATTGGGGTAAGGAAATTGGTCTGTCTATGAACATTACTTTCATTCCTTGCAGGTTGCCCAACTTCTTGAAAGTATGTTTGCTGACTTACGAACCATCTTTCAAAAGGTCTTGAGTCTTAATTCACTAGACTCCAGACTGGCTGTTCTCCAATGAACTTGCAAAGTATTTGGCAACCTGCCGGCATTAAAAGCCTCATGCCCAAACTGAAGAAGCCAAGGGACAGGTTACAGGTGACGTGACAAACTTGAAGCACCGGTCCCGCACTATTCTGTAAGCCAATATGTCGGCCATGATGAATTATGTCAATGTGCTCAAAGTTGCTAACCTTTCACATCCCTGAGTCTTGCAAGCATCGCAACATTTCCTGTTCAGCCTTCACTTCCACCAACCAAATTGTTCCTCCAAAACACGTCAAAACTCAAAATGTTTCATGCTACATTCCCAAGTGCGACCACACTTGATTCAATTGGATTTGACAGTTCTGCGTGTCAGCTGGTCCCCTTAAACCTCTTTGCACACCGAAAGGCCTTGAAATACTATTGCAACTCGATCAAGTGTACCGTTAACTGCTTTCTTTCCAGGCAATCGTGCGTTCCGGACTACAATCACCACTTCAGGCCTGCCATGAAATGACACTCCGCAGCAAAAGCTGCATACATTTTGTTCCGCAATTGCACCACGCACTGTCAAGGACAGTTTTGTGTTGCTCGCCGTCATGCATGGAAACTAGTCTTTGTCGCTCCGAAACAGCGCCCCCGTCTTGGGCAAGGAGCAACAGCAATAGCCGAGTTCGATCAACTGGATCAACCATTCCGTTCGTAAAACCTACTGAGAAGTGCTGCTGGGTATATCAACCTAGCCTCGATGAGATTCGAAGGGGCGCGGGCCAAAACTGGCGACATATTATTGTTGATCAATTTTATTTCAGTATGGAATGGCCGTTCTTCGCGGAAAAATCGGAAAAATATATCTTCGACTATCTTCGCGGATCTTTCGCGGCCTCATCGAAGTATGTCCAAAACCGTGTCGAATTAGTTAACATGAGCTGGAACTACAAGTATAGTCCTAGAGGAGGCTTAGAATAAAGCTCAGCCCAATTCTGCCAGCTACCAACACAGGGTGATGCAGCTCGGGGAATGTTGTGGGGCCTCAAGCTTGGAACCTGGACATTCGCGAACTTTTGCGGATGTTTCGCGAAATTTCATTGCTGATTTCCCTGGGTAGGCATAACATGTACAAACATCTGCACAATCCCGTCAGAGCTGCGGGTCGTTGACTCACTTTCAAGGCTGTGCAGGGGAAATGCTGCGCAAAGACAGGAATCGGAGAATCCTTTGCTGGGCAAGGAAACGTTGAGGCTTCAGTTCGTTAGTGGGACGTGTGGGGACACTTCCGCACACCGGCTCTGTCGGAGGATTGCCTTGTATTCCTACCATTTGTCGGTCGGTAGAAAAGACATAATACGAAAGCGAAGACCTTACTTCGATAAATCCTTTGCGAGAAAAAACAATATACTTTCGCGACTTTCGCGAACCTCATCGCGGATCTTTCACGGATGGCCTGGACAGCATCCAAAAGGTCGTTTTATATAAACCCCCTTACATACACGTTTAGATCAACTCCCATATTGGTGACATGCACAGCAATCAAAGCCAAATGACTTGTTTGGGTCGTCTGTCCCAAAAACTCTATCCAACAAACTGAATCATCCAATTGGTTTCTTTGCGATCTAATTCATCCTAAGTTGGGCTTAATCAATGCGCTGTTGCACAAGACACGGGCGAATGGATGCGGTTGAAAGCGCTTTTGGGGCAGTGCCAAAAGCCTTGCAAATCCTGAATCCTTCATGGACTCACAAAGGTTTTACCCCACTTCCTTCTTGAAGCAGGAAGAACCGGGACGTGCTGTCCAATGATTGTTAAACCAATAGAGAGATGGAGGGAAACATTGGAAGTATGCAATTTATAAATTAGAAAGAATCAAATGAAGCTTTGGGGGGGGGTGCTGGAGCAGTCTTAACTGTAAAGTCCACATAATCTCTTGCCCCTTGCTCGAGGAAACAGTGATGGCTGTGAAAGTACTCCACTGTACAGACTAACACAAGTACTGTAAAGGGAAACATCACAATTGTTGCTGAAACAATAATTGTTGTTGGACATTTTTCCACAACCACACTCTCTATAAAATGGAGAAATGACTAGCAGCGTTTGCATTCAGGAAAAACTTTGAGATGAATCCTGTTGTCTTGCATCCCGGTGCTTCTATGAAAACACACTTGGATTTTGGTTTCAGCTTTGACCCTTTGTGAGTCTCTGGCTGCTCTGCTCTTCTAGGTGTCATCGCAACCTAGGAGGCTTTGCCGTGCTTCATTCGAGACATAGAAGTCCTGGAGAAGAGCACTCAAAGAAGGCTACAAAATAGATAAAAAGTCAGAGGAAAGATGAAAGGTGACTCCCCCGTTAATAAGACCCCTTTGAAGGACCCTTGCAAATAGAGGCATTCGCCTTATTTTTTCTCTTTCATGCGACTGTAGAGTCGTGAGTCAATCTAAACTCCACACCTGACAAACTTGGCTCTGTCCCAGGTCGCCAGGGACTCTCTATACCTCAATGGGCAGGCGAGTGGCGTATAAGAACGTATGGAGAAGCGCCGGATATCGAACGCAATTTAGCAGCTTCGCGTTGAGTCTCCAAATCCAAAAGGAAGAATCTCATGAAAGCAAAGGCACCTAATGATTCCCCTCGCTTGTGTTGATTGACAACAGTCGAAGCCACATGCTTGGCTGCTTTGTGCTCACAAGCACCGCGGGCCACAATCAGAAGTCTTTTCTGTTTGTCGCTGGAGTTGGGTCAAAAAGATGTTGAATAGTGTCTTTTGCGCACGATATTCTTACGTGAACAATTAAAGTGTTTCCAGATATGGCTAATGGCTCCGTTTGTCTCTTGGGCCTTCCTTGCTTGTTCAACCCTTGTCATGGCTTTCGCACCGACCATGTGATGTTATGCCCTGGACCGTCGGAAGGACACGACGAGAAGCCGGACAATGCTGCCGGAAGGCCGGAGGGTGAGTAAAACCGGATGAGGCCAAGGCCAACACAGGGCTCTGTATTGCTTGGGAAGGTAACAATACAGAGCTCACTGCGATCAAAAGCGCACTGCCTTTGGGGGCTTGACTATTGGCCACTACAGGTGCGATGGCACGATGTTTGGGGGCAAGAAGCTTTCAAGAAAATAAACAAATCAGGAAACAGCCTGATGAAACCTGCACAAAAGTACCGGAGAAACGGAGGGAGAGTTTTCACCTCTCGCCTGTCCCTTCCTTTAAGATGCAAAATGTGGTCTCAAGCTTAAATTGGCAAAGGTTGCCCGGCTCACCTCGGTGCCAAGGCACCAAGTTTTTCGAGTTGTTCTTTTTTAAAGACCGCTCGGCCCTGCCTCCTTCCTACTTAATTCAGGGGCAAACTTGCATGCTCCTAGCTACTAGGAGGCTACTACATATGGATGCAGTATAGCTCACGCACCAATGATTTGGTTCCTAGATTTGTTACGAAACTAAACTTTGTAAAACTTTGTTAAGAATCTAAAGCTGACTGACTCACTCCGGAGCCCCAAAGCCAACAAAAACGCTGGCCCACCCAACCCTCTTCAACAGACCTACAGTATCGAGCACCTCGCAGTCCGTCAGTTCCTGTTGTGGATTAGAAGCTGACGAATGAAGTTACAGTTGCAGTAGTGTGGTCTGCAGTCCAGCTCAGGTAGGTTGATGCGCCCAACAAGCAAAACTCTCAAAACCTGAAAGGAAAGCATCGCATCACAATCATCACATCTGCTTCATCTATCTTCAAAGTTCAAGTAGTTCACGTGGATTGCATGGATACCTTTTCCAACTCTGTGCAACCACGGATGCAAAACACAATTCCAAGAACGCGTTCCTGCAAAGCAAAGCAGCCGCCAAGCGGCAAGGTTTTTGCTCCCGACTGGCAATCTGCAGCATCCTGACAAAAACCCTCACATTGTGATCATGAAATAGGACAATTGAATCCTTTGAACCTGTCGACGGCATGTTCCCAATACCTTCCAACATGTCATGTGTTCACCCAACACCCATGTCCCTGAGTCCCTCCGAGTCCATCCCGAGTCCCTCCAACCTCCTCGATTACATCGTGGCCAAGACTAAAGACAGGATCACGCCTCAGAGAGAAACGGACAACTCACTGAGATTGGACATGTTCTCGTCGAGCAAAGAGGAACGTTTGTGACATTGTAGTACACACTCAAGCAGGAGGCCATCGCTACTAGGGTGGAGGCCATCGCTCTTAGGTTGGAGGCCATTGCTATTGGGTTGGAGGCCGCTCTAACAGACTCTAGACTCTAGGGGCTTCACTGTCAGCCTTTGTGGGTGAAGCGCTGCAGGCTGCAGCCGCTTGTTGCACGAAAAGTGTGGCGAAAAAATTGAGAGTGGGGAGTTCTCAAGACTAGGTTCTGTTACGGAGCACAGTTCTAAGTCTGAGTCTCCCCAAGTATTCACTTGGTCATGTCCAATTGGACTAGAGTTCCAAAACTTTTGACAAGCTTTCGGTGGGAAACAAAGCAAAACAAATCTTTTAGCGCAAAGGCAGCAGAAAAGCATGCAAAGGCCAACTTTCATCGGGAAAAACGCTCTTGACTCTTGACGGATATCAAAGAGCTGCTCTTTACCCTCAATAAAACCAGTTGTCACATACCTCAAGCCTCAGGAGAACAAATTGACCATCTGTATTGCCTGCATAGGGGCCTGGTCCACCAAGCTTTGTCTTCGGTGGGGGTGTTGGGCAGTCGAAGCTCGCGCAATATCAACGTAGTCCAAGCCACCGCAAACAGTGGCGTGCGATGCACCATCCTCTTCTTCTGTGGTCATGTCCATGCTGCTGGTCGTCTGGCAAAGCTGAGCTGGCTGGCCACCAGTCCCACTATATTTATGTCATTCCTAGCACTCAAACAGTTATATACTTCTCGCCAATATCTTGCAGCATCTGTCTGCATCAGCATGTGTCCAACTTCACCCAATGGTGCTGGCGCTGTATCTAGTGATTCTACTGACTGGTGGTCTATGCTCGCTAGTTCGCGCGGCCTTGACAAGAGCAACATGTTGTAGTCAGGTAGTCTTCTGCCGCTGATGAACCTAACCTATTTCAGGCCGATAATGGACTATAGTCCACTCCAGTTTGTCACTGACACCGTCTGAAGCCACAATAAAATACAATAAAACAATATTGCTGCCAGCAAATCTCCCAAAACAGA